CATAAAACTTAATAGGCCCTTCAGTGGACGGGTATATTTTCTGGAATGTTACATTATCCCTCCCCCATTACGAACATTCGTCCCCGAATGACACTACATATTATCTTATATCAAAGAGGGAAATTTTTGAAAACACCCTAACATACTTGAGACATTACTCTTTCTAAATTTTTGAATTACACTTACTCTAGATAATGCATATTACTCAAGCTTATCGTAAGCTTCATATTTGAGATTGAGGAACTTCCTTCTCAAACGCACTTAACTTAATGGACATCACAACTCATGCAACACCAAAATCGTGTCTACGCTATATAAAATAGCAACATGAATGCAAGCACAAACTCATTTTAACTCATATAGTGCACGTGTAAGAAACATGATTAGGAATTAAAACATCAATCGGCTAATGCACTAATACCTCCAACTTTCTTAGCTAATCTAGACTTAGAAAGAGTATATCTAACCTCATGAATTGAACAAGTGAGGGTAACATGATCTCATATCGTCCTCAACCTCCCATGTTGCTCCCTCAATAAGGTGGTTCCTCCATAATACCTTCACAGTGGCAACCTCATTGTTTCTCAGCCGCTTCACATGGTAATCTAATATTACAACTAGAACCTCTTAATAAGAAAGGTTCTCATCAACTCCTAACCTATAAACAGGCAGAATGGATGCTAGATCACCTAGACACTTTTTAAGCATTGATACGTGAAACACTGGCTTACAGAAGCCAAGTCTTGGAGAAACTTTATTTCGTAGGCAACATTTCCTACTTGTTGTAAGATCTCATAAGGACCGTTATACCTTGGACTCAACTTCCCTTTATTACCAAACCACATAACTACTTTCATGGGTTATATCTTCAAATACACTTGATCACCGACCCCAAGTTCAGGATCTCTCTTTCTATTGACTGCATAGGATATTTTACGACTATAAACATTATTTTATCTATCCCTAATCATTCTCACATTATCCATAGCCTCATGTATGATCTCAAGTCCAAGGATGGAAGACTCTCCTACTTCAAACCATCTAACTGGAGACCTACATCTCCCACAATATAGTTCCTCAAAACGTGTTACTCCAATGCTGGAATGATAACTTTTATCATATGAGAACTCATTCAGCGGCAAGTGATCATCCCAACTGCCCTTGAAGTCAATGACACATGGTCTCAGCATTTCTTGAAAAGTCTGAATAGTCACTATCCTTGGTCATCCGTATGGGTTTGAAAAGTTGTACTGAATTTCACCTATGTACCCAATCTTTTTTTGAAAGATCTCCAAAAATGAGAAGTTAACTGGGCTCCCCTATCCTAAATGATAGATATAGGGACCCTATGCCACCTCACTATCTCATCAATTTACAGCATGGCATAATCTTCGGCCCTGTAAGTAGACTTCACATGTATGAAGTGTGCACACTTAGTAATACTGTCAACAACAACCCAAATAGAATCATGTACATTCCTTGTCCTGGGCATACGAACCACAAAATCCGTATTAATATCCTCCTCTTTCTATGTTTGGATCTCAGTAGACTGGGTAATACAAATAGGCTTAACGTGTTCGGCCTTAACCTTTTGGTAATTAGGACACTTACATCATACGTAGAGATATCTCTCTTCATATCTTTCCACCAATAGATATCCTTGAGATCATGATACATTTTGGTAGAACCTGGATGAATAGAATACCTTGAGTCATGAGACTCTGCAATAATATTAGGCCTCAAACCATTTCTATTCGGCACACATAATTTACCCTGATATCAAAGAACACCATCCTCCCCTAGGGAGAATGATACATTCATCTTGCTTAACACTGAGTTTTGCAACTCCATGAGTACTGGATAGACATGCTTCTTAGCTTTGGCATCTACAACGAATAAGGAATAAGAACCGGAATAAACTAAAATACGCCAACTTTGTGTATCTACTAGTCGTAGACTCAATCTAGACAATTGGTGTACCTACTTAACTAGCTCTTTCTTCTCATCATCAATATGAGACACACTTCCCACGATCAAACAGCTTAAAGTGTCAGCAACTACATTGGCATTACCTTGGTGATAGTGAACAATATGTCATAATCTTTAAGCATCTCCAACCATCTTCTCAAATAGAGATTTTTACTCTCTCTCTGTAAAAACATACTTAAGACTTTAATGGTTAGTACATACATCAACATGTATACCATATAAATAATGTCTCTAAACTTTTATCGCAAAGGCCACAACAACTAACACAAGAACACATTTCGAACCTACTCGGGAAGAATCACAACATACCATATACCCTTCACCACTCCTCAGCAATGTAAGCACTGTAGCTGAAGTGAGTTGGTCTTTAAAATCTGAGGAGATTTTTTTCACACTTCTCATACCACTCAAACTTTACCTTCTTTTTTGTTAAGGCTATGAGCGGGGCACCAATAGTGGAAAATTCCTCCACAAACCTGCGATAATACTTACCAAAACCCAAAAAACACCAAATATTTGTGGGAGTTAGGGGTCTCAGGAAATTCTTCACTGATTCAAGTTTTTTCGAATCAACGTCAACACCCTGGTCGGTAACAACATGACAAAAAAGGCCTCTGATCTCAGCAAGAACTCACATTTAGTGAACTTTACATAGAACTAATGTTCCTTGAGTACCTGCAATCTCATTCTCAAATATTGTTCATTCTCTTCTTTGGACTTAGAGTATATAAGGATGTCATCCATAAATACTATGACAAGTGAACCAAGGTAATCACGGAAGACCCTATTCATAAGGTCCATAAACTCGGCTGGTAATTTTGTGAGACCAAATCACGTGACAAAAAACTTGTAATGACCATACCTAGTGCGGAAGATAGACTCAGGAATGTCCTCTTGTATCACTCTAAGCTTGTGATAGCCTGACCGGAGATCTATCTTAGAAAACAAAATCTAACCTTAGAGCTGATCAAATAGATCATTAATTCTGGGTAGAGTGTTTTTGTTCTTATAGTGACTTAGTTGAGTTGCTGATAACCGATACACATTCTAAGAGTTCCATTCTTTTTTTCTTAACGAACAACGCTGGGCACCCTATGGGGATATGTTCGGCTTGATGAAGCCCTTATCAAGCAAATCCTTCAACTGGAACTTCAACTCTTTGAGTTCATCTAGAACCATTATATATGGAGGAATTGAAATTGGTTTTGTTTTTAGATCTAAATCAACACCAAAATCAATTTCTCGTTCAGGAGTAGTTCCTAGTAAATACTTTGGAAAGACATATTTGAGATCATTCATTATAGGAATAGAGTCTGGGAAGGAACCTCCTGCTATAAGTCATTTAATCTGGCTAATTGGTATAAATACCCCTTAGATAACATCTTATATGCTTTGAGGTTGGAAATTATTTGGCTTGTTGGATTAGAACCACTCCCTTCCGATTCCAGCACTAACTCATTTAGAAACTGAAATCTTACTACCCTATTTCAACAGTCTATTGTAGCATAACACTTATGGAGACTAGTCATACCCAAAATTATATAAAAATCAAGCATGGCTAATTTTATTAGGTCAGCATGGGTAACTACTCTATCAAGAATATTAATTGAGCAATCTTTATATAATCTTTTAGCTTTTATGTCATCTCCTATAGGAGTACTAACTAAAAAAACTCATGCAAGATCTTAGGAATCAAGTCAAACTTACTCTCTTCTAAAGGAGTAACAAATGACAAAGTGGATCCTTGATCTAACAATGCATACACAGGAAAAGAGAAGATATGTAATGTACCAGTGACCAACTCAGCACATTTCTCTTGCTCCTCTCTACCTTTCAATGCATAGAATATGTTCCTCTTGGGAGGTTCGGTTGTAGCAGTAGGATTAGGTCGAGACAGAGCATTTGTCCTGGCCTGATTTCTTATCAGTGGGTAGTCTTTAACCATTGCCCACTCTTGCCGCACCCATAGTACCTATTAGTACCTGCCAGACACTCACCTCTATGCATACGACCACATTTACCAAGCTGATTGCTGCTATGTTGGTCATTGCTATCACTGCCCTTTTTGGGGCCAGACTTGTCCGCTTTGGCATTTGAGTGCCTAGAAGTAGTACGATTACCTTAGAGATGGTGCCCTGGACCATCTCAGCCATCGCAATACTTTTGTACCATACCTGAGCCAAATCATTGAGCTGGTATACAACCAACTCAGCCTTGTCGTTTTCATTAACACCCATGGCACAGAGAATTTTGTAGATCTCGTGCATAAACTCCTTGGGGTCCTCATTGCTTTTTGACCCGAAGTATACTGGAGGATTCATCCTAGAGAACTCTCTTATTCTACTAGACATGGTGCTAGCATGTGGGTTGTCCATGGGATCACCTTATCTAGTGGCTTGGGCGGTGATAGTATGCGTCTGAGCAGTGATGACTTTGGCAATCTCAAATAGTGCTTCTCTTAATTCTCTATCCGTTGATGTAGTTAGATTGACAGGAACTTGCACTCCAACAACTAGGGCTTGAGGAGGAAATTGGTTGCCTCCATCAACTACTTCTTCGACTCTTTTGCCTGCGTTTCTCCTTGTGTTCATTTTCTACATATATACACAAGAGGGAAGTTAGACAATAGAATGACACAAAATGTCAAAATCTTTACATGGCACGATAAAAAGTAGAAGAAGGGATGATTTTTAGCATATCATAGTCTCTAAGTCATGATTGTGGCGCACTTAACAACCATAAGTTAGAAACTACGTAACGTGGTTGTTTTGAGCTTTGTTTCCTAGATAATTTAACCTCATGCTATGATACAATGTTTGTCACACCCGGATTCTGGAATCCGAATGCGACCGGGGTCGTTAACCTCTTAGAGGTCCCAGACAAGCCTCTTCTTATCTTTGATCACATTCATAAAGTTGAATTTGCGGAAAATTTAGAACTTTTAAAACATAATGAAATATACATAAACATCATATATTTTTTACATAGATGAATATTCTATTAAGATAAAATTAAAAACAACCATTTATATTGAAGAAACAATTCAAATCAAGAGATCAATATATAATGTAATAGTTTGCCAAATCGGCCATAATACAATGCTTTGAAACAAAGATCTCAAAAGAAACGCTAGGGATAACATCCACTAGCTATGTCTACAGAACTATTCTAGATAAATATGTGTAGCATCCTCAAACATCAAGAGGACCTACCGAAGTCTAGAGAATGATGATCCATACAACTTCAACGAGTCTTCCACCTTCTCTGTGACCTGCACCTAAAAATATAATAATAGTATAGGGTCAGTACACACTTGTACTAAGTATGGGTGTATGAACACTTACACATAAGGACTATGCATGATAATAAAAGCACTTCCTATAACAACATGTTATTTTTGGAAAGTGACATCACTAGACTTTCCTAATTTGTTATATGTGAATTATGGTATGAATATGACTTATTTTAATGCATTCAAAGAACACAACTCATTTTTTATATGAATACAAGGCGTTAGATTTATCAACATAATCTTAGAACAAGTCGAATGAAAATTTTTGATTTTGATGCCCCCAAACCGAGAACCCCTTTCCCTATACTTAGTTTATTTTTCAGCATTTTTCTTCTTTTTTGTCTAGATCAAAAAAATCCCTTGATCCAATGTTTTGCTTAAAAGTGCAATGATTCATTATAGTCCCATAACTATAGTTAATAAAGTAATAATTCAAGGGATTAAGCAAATTATTTTACTACAATTTGGGGCATGGAATCTTCACAATCTAATCTTCAGTTACTGTTCCTATTATTGTGTTATTGCCCTAATATAAGATTTCATTATAAGCCAATATTTTTGGCTATGATCTTTTTCCAATTATATGAAGTCATCATAAGCCAATCTCATTTGGCTTTATCATTTTCATAAAATGAGGATTAATTAGTGGCAATTCCCTTTACTTATTAAAACATCATTCTTATTATTATTGACATTCATATCTCTTACTTTCTTAGTTCGCCTTGAACTTACATCTCTTCTTAATTGTTATTCCTTATAGATGTCTGCAGCATTAATATCATGTGAAGCTACATGAAATCTAGTGTCTTCCCCACACCTAAAATAGGTGATTCACCGATCAAAGTGAATCCTAGATAATGCCAGTTTACATGAAATCCAGTGTTTGCCCCACACTAAAAATGGACGATTCACCTGCTAAAGTGAATCCATGTGAAGGGTTTATCCCACAATGAAAAGGTGTGGCTCACGGCTAAAGCTAACCAAGAACATTCTTCTGAGCATTAACCGACATAGATCATGTGATCTAAACATAAAATCTTGTATCTTTGCCATATCGAAGAGAGGTGATCTCACTGGACAAGGTGAGACCAAAACATAACTACCTCTCTTTGGTGGATTCCACAGGCTGGGCTCCATGTAAGCTAGGCATAGTTCGAAGACTAGGAGATATTCAGACACTCTCATCCACCGTGGTGGAGCCTCATCTAATGAGACATAAATGTGCAAGCACAAGCTCATAGATGGTCTATCGGTGCATTTCTCTCACTCTTATATATTCTTATCTTTTAGAGTTGACTCAAACATTATGGAAACTTGCTTCTAGATTGAGGTTTACTTACTATATTGATTAATATTCATCCCTTTCATTACATTGATGAAATGTGAATTTATCCTTACATAACATCTTTGGTGTTAATGAGACTTGTCTTACACATTCTAACACCCTTTTTTCATGAGTATCTTAACATCGTATTTTAGGTGTATGTGCGACTTGTCTCACTTTCTTTAACTCCTAATTTTGGTAACATTCTTAACATAGACACTTTTTAATTATGTTAATACTCACTTTAATTGTGTAGGTTCATTTTGTTGCTTTATATCATCATTTATAGACGTTGAGAACTCCATCCAAAGAAATACTTATGTTCATAGTTCATTTGGTTAGGGCATGTTGGGACTTGTGCCAATGATTGGCATACCCTTGGATATGGATTCATTGAATTATATTAGATGTTGTTTAATTGTCATTTCAATTATTTGGCTATATATGATTGGCATAAAATTAGTATTTGCCTAGAATATTTGGAAATGACTTAGAATTAGCCTACATTCTTTCAAATTTAATTTCATGAAATAATTATTAGCCAATCATATATCATAGCTTAGGCATAGCATTATTAGCCATTTCGGATGGCCTAATATGAATACATTAATGATCACATTGTCTCCAACAAGTCACATTTAACAGTAAATATAAACCATGTCTGTAACAGATCAATCTTAGAACTTTCGAACACAAGTTAAAGTAGCACTATTCTTTCTTTCACGTAAGGAATACTGAAAATCATATGAGTATAACTTATAGTCTCATTCATATTTACAACTCGATAAACCCACACGTTAAGATCAGCCAGCACCACATACCAACAACTTGATCGGCACTAGATATATATACTCATTGGAATTAGAAACAACGATACTAGGAAAGAGGGAGTTCAACAAGAACATTTTGAAAAAACCCTAGTTTTTAGATTTCATAGATTCAAGGCGATGGAATATACTTTTGGAGAAAGAATTCTAGGATAAAAACCCATACACCTTTCATGAAACCTTGGATAAAAGCCTTCAAATCGCCTAATAAAAGTCGAGAGAAACTTTTCTGTTCTCCTTTCGTTCGTTTATTAATATGCATTGTGAAATTTTTAGTTTTTGAATGTAAGTCTAAGTCTTAGAAACTGATTTTGACTCATTCAACTTAGGCTAATTATGTAAATTAAAAAAATTAATTAATTAATTACTAAAAAGCCCCTCATACATTGACTAGAATAGGAAAACATGTGACTTAACCCAAAATCTGGAAATTGGATAGGTCTCGGCCAAAATTTTGAATTTTAACTAATAAATTAAATTGTTAATTTAATTAATTAAGGGACCTAGATTAATTACTAAAGTGACCCTAAGCCTTTTGGACCATAACTAACCCTTTTGGACCATCGTAGGTTATGTAATAGGTTGTTTCTTGAGTTATATTAGGTTAGTGTCACCCAAGTAAGCCTTAGGTTGTCGGGTGTACTAGATAATTTATTTTTGTTTGTTCTATGTTAGTTAGTTATTTAGGTCAGTAGGTTAGAGTCTAGAATTATTTAGAATGCTAGGCTCCACATGGTGGAACCGTTGTACAAGCCTCCCCACTAACTACCCTAACCAAATTCGGTTAGAATGGTCCCCTTTTTGGCCGTTTCTCCCCATGTGCTTGCACATTGGTTGCTTTTACTTTCCGAACTAACTATTATTGATGGTTCATTTGGAATGTTTACTTATTGTCCCAAGGATCCTCACTATGTCCTTGAGAACTACTTAATCTACATGCCCGTTTTAATTGCTCATGTGCTATGGTTCCTAGATTTGACACATGGATGCCTCGTATCTAAAGTGCTAAGCTGTGAATAAATGTTTTCAGCTTAGGGTCTTTATTGCACGTACATTTCTTGGAGAAGCTTATTAATAATAAAAAAAATGGCTAACACCCTTTAAGCCTATATTTTCTACTATGCCTATAATTTTTTAATATGCCCAATATTTCTATTTACCCCCACTATCTATTGTTAAAACTTAATAGGCCCTTCACTAGATGAGTTTATTTTATGGAATGTTACATAATCAATATTCTCAACCATGTTAATGTCTGTAATAATCGCCACAAAAGGTTCTTCTGTAAAGTTTACCTTAGGATTACGACCACGTTTCCGAAATCTTCAAAATCGAGAATATGCCCACTTTTGCCAAAAACAAACCATGGTACACTTTCTTGAAATTGTTGATTTTGTGCTTTGTAGTTTTCACCATTATATTTCTTGGGAGGTCTACCATTATTTTTGTTGAATTTTTTCTCCTTAGGCTTCAAAGAAGTATTTTTGTGAGTTTCAGGAGTAAAATTATTCAGAGTAATTAAATTAACCTTCGTTGTGATGTTGTTCTCTTTTGTTTGATAAAGTGCATCTTGGCCACTTGCTTCTTCATCCATGCAGATTTTTATCATCTATGAAGTCTTGAGCTTGATCTATCTCTAATTTGTCGTCCACCATTTAGAGACAAAAAATCTACTAGCTCCATATTTTTTCGGTCCAGCCTCTTCTGTATCATATGAACTCTTTAATGCTTTCAAAACATCTTTGCACTAGAGTAAGTTCTATCATAATAATCATAAAAATTAAAAGATAGACAATTAAGAAGATAATAACGACTCTTATAGGAATCATCATCGTACTTTTCCATTTCTCTATATGAGAAACAGTTTCATCTTCATTCATGAAGGTGATGTCTTCTTTATTTTGATTCTTCTTTGTTAATACATAAGAAACATTGAGAATACTTTAGTAGAACATTATTTTAACCTTCCATCCCTTGAAATGGTTACCATTGAACAAAAATGGTTGGTTAAGGTCTCAAATCTTGACATCCACGGTTTCTTCTATTGTAGCAATGTTCATTCTCCTTAAAAATGTCGGGGAGAACATTGAAGATAAAAAAAATTACAAGATTACAACTTAAAATGAAATTAAGAAAGAAAATCTCTTTAGGATGAGGTGCGCATATCTCTCTTTCTTTAAGGAGATTTCAGCCAACTAAAGCATATGTTTTCACCGGTAAAGGAATAGTCCTCTTTAACTTGTCCCCTCCAAGATACAACAGTCTTCGCAAAATATTCTTAACAACTCTGGACAAGAGTTTAGTCCAAAGCTCCACAAAAAAGAACACCTCCCTTCAACTAATAACAATTATCTTCCTAGAGTACCTTTTTTTTAACTCTATATTTTCTTTTATATAATGTTTTACAAACCAAATGAAATCCACCACTAGTTATACTAGAGAAAATCTTCCTAGTAATAAAGAAAAAGATAAATGGTGTAGTACATAGTGAAGATAAATGACCTAGGAATTACATATGTTACATAGGCTACAAGGTATGATGGAGGAATAAAGAGTGAACATAAAGTGAGGGATAGTCAATAAACTGCCCATTCCAATGTTCTTTGCAACGTTTATTCCAAATGAATTAGGGAAATTAAACCTTAATGATCAAGAAAGAAATGCACCATAATAATGAATTGTAACTTTCTAATACATGCATCTGCAACTAACGGATTTGTTGACAATGTCCATATGAACTTCTTTATTAATAATAATATGCAATACCAACAAAAAACCCTTTAATATCTATTCTAATGAATTAAGTGTTACTAGTATATCAAGTTTAATCTCCACTTGAGTAAATAAACCTTTACAAGTACTCATTTATTTAGGACATTTTTATACTTAGTTATATTAAGTATGTTCGAATTACTATAATAAATACACCACCTTATTGTATGTTATTAACAATATAATTATCAATTCACTCACACACACATATATATATATAGATAGATAGATATTATATATATATATATATGGATATATATATATATATATAAATTTTGCCATTTCAAATAAATAATTAATTTCATACAAATTATTTATCAATCATTAATTCATAAATTATAAATGCATATATAGCAAATAAAAGCTCATATAAATATAAAACGAACATAATTTAGAAAAAGTAAAAAATATCCTAATAAAATGATGACAGGAAGGGTTGTTAGCGTCACTTCATGTATCATATACATTTCTCCTTTCCTTTTGATGTTTTGGCAAAGTGATCAAATTGTACAAGAACTTCCACTCCAAAATATTAAGGAATTCTCTTGTAAAAGTTATTTTTCAACAATCCACTTTTGTCGTGAAAATAAGTAATTCATTTTAAATACAAAACATTTATGTATAAATTAGGCTATATATTTTTAGATGCAAACTTAGCCCTTGATTCCACTTGGTAGAAAATTATATGCACAATAGAAACATATTACAATCTTACTGCCTTAATGAATAATATAGATAACCAAATCGTTTATGCTAGATTATATATGTTTATTGTACAACACATAAACTTGTAGAAATTTCATTCAAGAATTACCTCGTAAAGCGTGAACACATACATTCAAGTGAATCCACAACTTAGAAATATCTTCCTACAAGCAATTTCCCAAGTTAGATAGATCATCAAGTCAATGGAAAAGATATACAACAATTATGTTGCCTTCTATAATGATCTCAAATTGACATGCGAACTCTCTCGATACTTGGTTATGAAGTATGAATCGAAAAATTCAATCTTTTTCTAAGTTGAGAGAATCCTACTTGTAGAGATTTTTTCCAATTCAAAAAGGAGGAAAAAATAAAGTCTATTTTCTTTAACAAGAAAAATACATGATTGATTTCTTTTTAAAAGAAAAACTCATGGTACTCTCCTCTTTTATCCTTTAAAATAGGATTCTGAGTTCTAATTTAATATGGGAACAATAGGGAGCACAAAATTAATTACTGAGGCCTCATATTATAAAAGTTATCCCAAATAAGTAATTTGAATTATTCCAAAATATTAAGGAATTCTCTGATAAAAATTATTTTTCAACGTTCCACTTTTGTCGTCAAAACAAATAATTTTTTTGCATACAAAAAAACTTATTATTGGCTAATCGAAAGGAAAAAGCACAAGTAGGTAAAGTTTGTCAATTATATAATAATATTACATAGAATCATTGTAAAAAATAGTACAATCATTGTGAACACACCAAATGCAAACACATGCAATGTCTTCCTTTTCTGTCATTGTATACGTTCATCCGAACAAAAAAATGGTACTCATATACATATTAACAAATATGTAGAACTAGATTAGGGTATATACTTAGATGCAAACTTAGCTCTTTATTCGAATTTTTAGAAAATTATATGCACAATGGAACCATATTATAATCTTACTGCCTTAATGAATAATATAAATAGTCAAATCGTTTATGCTAGATCATAAATTCTTATGCTACAACACATAAACATGTAGAAATTTCATTCAACAACTACCTCTGAAATCGTGAAAAGATACGTTCAAGTAAATCTACAACTTATACATATCTTCCTTCAAGTGAATTCCCGAGTTATATAGATCATCAAGTGAATTCAAAAAAACACAACAATTATGTTGCCTTCTACAATTATCTCAAATTCACATGTGAACTCTCAAAATACATGGTTGGTCGAGTATGAATTGAATCATTCAGTCAGTTTCTAAGTGAAGAGAATCCTACCTATAGAGATTTCTTCCAATTCAAAAAGGAGAAACAAATACAGTCTATTTTCTTTAAACAGAAAAATACACGATTGATTTCTTTTTAAAAGAAAAACTGATGCTAATCTCCTCTTTTCTCCATAAAAATAGGATTCTAAGTTCTACATAAATATTGGCACGGTAGAGGCGGCACTATTAATTATGGAGGCTTCATATTATAAAAATTATACCAAATAATTAATTTAAATTATTCTTACCATATAAAAATAAAAATCATTCAACTAGAAATTCATAATTGAATTCCTCTATTTATATTTAAAAATTCACCATTAAACATTTTTGTAATTCTCCGTGCTAATAATATAGATAATAATCAATAAATAACATTACTGAACAATTTAACACAACGATTATTTCCATTAAAGTACTACTTCACTTATTTAACGTGTCGGATTCATAAATCCACTAGCAAGGTTTAACACGATGAAAACATATATGCTTCTCAAAAAGATATACCAATAAATATGTATAACTAGATATTCATTCATTTCACTAACAAACTTATTATTTCACCAATATATGTTATGATCATATTTACACATCAGAATCTACCATGATAATAAATAAAAAAAAGAGTATATATATATATATATATATATATATATATATATCATAACAGTTATATCAAGATTAAGAATAGAAGTACATTTTATAGTATAGAAAAGTTAGAACTCTATTGTTCCCATTATCAAGAAAAATTACATATAATCTTGTTGTATAGATAGAAAAGGTCTTTAGCTGAAGCAAAGCTAGCGAACGGACTAATGGGAAAAGGGAGAACAAGTTAGACAATATCTATATTACATTGTGTCTCAACATAGTGAAAATGCTCATCAACTTCTTCAATCAAGATTCTGTGTATTTAGAAACCTTCTGCTTTTACATCTTTAATCTTTTCAAAAGAGTCTTGTTCACATAAGACCTGACTAAAAATGGGAATTAGAGGTTCGTAAATTTCATAGCTAAACAAAAAAATTAATTTCTAATCCTATTTAGTCACAATTTATCATATGTTTTTTTACCTACGAACAATTTATCAAAGCTAAACGACGAAGTTCATTATTATCACGAAAGGAGCCTACAACCTAGACATGGTTGGTACCCAATGACTATTGTTAGACTTGAGCGAACCCTTGACCTAGCTTACTTAACATAGCGGAAGACTATAATCACCTCAGACAAAGACGTCAAAGCATTCTCATCAAATAACTTTCATAATTATCTTGGCCAAAATTACACTGTCTCAACACTTGAACATATGAAATATAAGATATATTAGACAACAAAATTGAACTACTAACTGTCTATATGTCTATGAAGCCTCTAATAACTAAGATGAATGTCAGGACATACCCCACAACAACCTAATAAACTAAGCTATAAAAGAAAAAAAATTATGTCCTATAAAATGTAGGGAGGTTCACCAAGTAACTATGGAGTGCTCAACGGGATCAATGTTGCGCTGCATGCAAATCCTAATTACCTGCATTTTGAATCATGAAATTATGCAGGTCAGCTGGCATCAGAATATTGAATGTATGAGTATATGAGTTGGAAATCTAAATGACGACTTAAGCTTTAGATGATTAATATTAACTTACCTTGGCACTACTCAACTCAAGAATATGCTTAACTCATAGTATGTACATAAAGGAAGTTAAAACACATGTGATATATATAAAGCTTGAAAAAATATAAACAACTTAGTTCATTAGACAAATGTAACAAAAAACTCAATTTTACTTATATATGAAAGTAATATATGTTTTGTGGGAGATCATCTTACTGACAACAATAACACTGAGCCTAAGTAATGATGTGACGTTGTTCCTCACCTTTCCCAAGGACCATCCTATTCCTTGCCATTGGTATAAGACATTACTTAGCTTAGTGTATCTACTAGATAAACTTACATGATCATCTTACATGTATGTCCCATCAATTCCCATGATGACTTCATGGTTTACATGGAGACTTACAATAAAATGAACTCTCATCTACACATCGGTGCTCAATAATACTACCAAAATATACTTTAGCTCATACTTGTAATAACAATTTCCTTTCTTTGGGTTGAGATATTACTGAACCCTTTAGCTTTAGAAAGCCCTTTTTGGAATCAATGTTCCCCTTTTCGTCCAAAACACTTTTCAAACTCTTAGTTTCCTTTTACATAAATGTGAAACACTTATAAGACTTTTGTTAATACTTAGTTCCCTTATATTTTTTGAGAAATGAACTCAACTTTGGCTCTTTGTTTAACTTGATACTTAACTCTTAGGGAATACTTAGTTCCTTACATTTTATGAGAATTTAACTCAATTTTTACTCTTTGCTCATCTTGTGATTTCACCGTTACAACAACGTTACAAATAATGTTAAGACTCCTTGAAAACATTAAAAAATTACTTTTACTTGCTTCTTACTTTTAAACATGAATCCTGACTTCCCTGACTTTGATCTTAACTTTGTTTGAAATGGATTATGGATTCAAGGATCATGGTCTCATATTTATAGATGATTCATGATGTTTAGATGTACTTTTGAGTGTTGGAATCAACTAGGAATTATAGGTACATCATTTTGAAACTTGTATAAAAATATAGAGAAAGAATGCGTTCTTCATGGGGTCTAGGCGCTATGAGAGGCGCGGAGCGCTAGAGCATGAGTGACGGATACTGTCCTAAAGCGCTTGGGCTGGTACGGTGCTCTAGATCCTTACAGACAGAGTCTATATGGATGGACTTTAGTAGGCGCGGTGCCCCAGAGCCCGTCAGATGTGTTTTCCATGTTCTCTTCTCTAATTTTAAATTATAAACCTTCCAAACTTCCAGGGATCCAACCCAAAAAACCAAGGTTCTCTAAATACTTGATTATCTAACATATAAGACCCAAAAAAAGTCCGTAAAAATTAATCAAATCTACTCGGGATACACTACAATTCAATCAACAAGAATTAAAGGAATTTCCATCAGGATCTCTTATATTCATAATTAATATACTCTAACTTGATGAATTGGAACAAATCTAGTCTCGGTTAAGGACCCAAAATCAAATGATCTCATATACCTCGATAGGATCACCCACGATGGAAGCCATACAACGATCTTGGCATTCTTAGACAATTCTTGTTCTTTCTCTTCTTTCTTTTTTGCTACGAAGCCCTAAGCATTCTTAGTTTTTCTAAAACTGATTTAGGACATGGTTTTACTCCTAATATAACCTAAAAATTAATTAGTAAATACTAGGGTTAAAGACAATTTTACCTTTACTTAAATTCAGACTTGATTTTTCTCATCTCAACAATCCAACTTCCGAAACTCATATCTCCCTCATGCAACATTGAAGTTTTGCAAACTTGGTGGCTTTTAATAAGTCTTCCTAGGATATTTCTGACCATTTTCATAACTCATGAAAAGTCCTCCTGAGCAAGTAGTTATGGTCGTTTGAAAATCACCAAAACTCACTTTTGAAAGCTGCAAATTTTCCAAATTTCTCTACTCAGTCCCAAATTGATTATTCATAGTTTCTTAGCGTATTCTTAGTATGTTCGTGTTATGAGATGTTAAAATATATCCCCCTTGGTAACATTCGTCCTCGACTGAGAATTTTTTCACTAAGATAAGGGTAGTAATATAACTTCAGACCTCAACAACAACAATAAGTTATAACATGCTTACACATAATCTAATAATGTTCAAGGAGGAGAATTTAATATCTTTATTAGCATTCTCCCAGGATTCAAAGTGAAGTTGATATATCTACTTCTTATCCTTCTCAACTCCCCAAGTCGCTTCTTTAACGTATTGGTTCGTCCAAAGGACCTTGACTAAAGAAACATCCTGTGTCCTCATGTTGCTAACTTGACGATCAAAAATATGAACTAGAATCTCTTCATAAGGTAAGTTATCCGTAATCACACAATTCTCAGTTGGCAGAAACAATGACAGATCAACTAAGAAATTCTTCAACATAAAAATATTGAATATCGGATGAACCGCTGCTAATTCTTCGGAAAACTCCAACTCATTAGACACATCGCCCACTCGCTTGGAGATTCTGTAAGGTCTAATATACCATGGAGTAAGTTTCCCCTTCTTGACAAACCTCATCCATTTGCCTTCATAAAAAAACACACCTCTTCAAAAATCGCTTCCACCCAAAAATTTGTATCAGAGCTAGCTAGCTAACTAACTAAGCTAATAACTATGGAGAAATCTGGAGCTACAAATCTACAAAATCAGGTATACACTCTTAAATTTATGAGTAGCTAAATAGATTTATTCCTGA